GTCCCGGGCTGCTGAGCACTAGGTCAGGGCCGCGCCGCGCCGCGCCGCGAGGGGGAGAGCCGGAGAGCCGGCCTTGGGCAGTCGTCCACTGCCTCTCTGATTTCTCTCCGAGCCCCAGGCAGAGGCCCGGGCATCGGTGCTTTTAGGGCAGCACGTTTCTGCGCGCATTCGGAGGAGTAGGGAGAAATATTTGCGAAAGAAATATTGTCGGTAATGACTGCAGAAACAAACGCATGCGTCACAGGGAGGATATTCGTGGTCAGATCGTGTCCAGAGCCCAGAGCAGCATCCCGTCTGCAGGGAAATTTTGTCATCCCGAGCTTAGTCCCGAGAGAGTATTTGGTAAATGGAGTGTGGACGTGCGCTCTAGAATGCTTTGCGTAGACAAGAGAAGACAGACCCCGAAGTGAACGCGTGTCTTCCCCCGATGCGAGGGAGAGCTGATAGCGTGAATTGGGTTTTCCTAAACCTGTCTCGGTTTCAGCAGTTGCTTTGGCATTTGAATGCATTTTGCTCCCTCTCTGTGTAAGTTTTTGTTTTTGTCTCTTTTTCTTTCCCCCTCCTCCACACGAAATTCACCACTGTGAGGAAGGGCTTCTTTCCCTTCCATGAGCAAGGTGAACTAGCTTAAAGGTCCACCCCCGAGTCCAGCCGGGTTCCTGTCGCCGTCCACCAAAGCAGCTCACAGGAACTTCGTATTGCTGGTGCCCTTTGTACCCGCTGAAGACCAGACCCTTAGATAGTTAAACATTCCAGATTGGCACTTGCAGTAACTTGGCTACCAATGCTGTTTGATTTAGCCTGTTGCCAAATTTTTCAAGTCAAAAATTTCTACCCAAAGTCCCTTCTTTTGTTGAAAAAGTTGGAGATTTAAAAACATGATAAAAAGAAAGGCCTCAGCCTATGTGTTCCTGATTGCAGTTGCTTCTTGATTCTCTCTGTTGTTACAATCTCTCTGGGGCTATACTAATTTGAGTTTTGGATGTAACGTTACAGCAAAGTTAACCGTCACCACACTCCTGAATGGTGGCTGGTGACACTGCCTTTGTTTCAATACTATCTGTAGTTTGTTATTGTTCTTTTTGGTAAAGTGGCAAGTTCTCTAGGTTTGAATGTCTAATAAGTTTTTTTTTTTTTTTTAAGTAACTCTGGTCAGACCCAGATGGATCCCTTGAGGCAGTAGGACATGATACTTCTGGCTACTAAATAAAAATAAGAGAACTGATAGGAACTGATGAGTATCCCTGAGTGCTGAGTGGAGAGCAAGGATCCTGGGGTGGCCCCCTTAATTTTGTTGTTCTGCTGGTAGCTTTTGAAATGCTGTTCTGCCCAGGAGCTTGCTTGCCCACATGGCGTCTGGTAGCAAGTGTTACAAGAAGACTGACAGGGAGAGAGACCTAGAGCTAAGCAGCTGGAGAGTCAACTTGTAGGGTGTGGGTGGGTACACCTGGATTTGGACAGTTTGTTTGTTTGGGGGTGGGGGGTGTGCCTTTTACTGCCAAGGGTAAAGGTGTAAACTAGCAATTTCCTTTGCAAATGTTGAAGCATTTGCGATCAAACTTGATGCCTTAATTTTTTTTTTTTTTTTTAAATAAAGGGAAGTGGTGAACCAGTTGTGGTCTCAGGACAGATAACAGGACTGACTGAAGGCCAGCATGGGTTCCATGTGCATCAGTTTGGGGATAATACACAAGGTAGGTCTTGTGCTGTGTAGTGACCGTCTATACCTGGCTGACCAATGAAGCACGTGGACCCAGTCAAAACTCAATTGCTAATGATTAAAAAATTAGAGTTTTTTTACTCTTTAAAGAAATTAAGTTAAAATAACCACTTAGGTCACCTTGAGGAAAGTAGCCACAAAAAGTAGTGTTTGATTCATTAAGTGTGGGAAGGGGAAGGAGTTGGTGCTTTATTGTGATAATGTCTTAACTTTAAAACACAGAAACAAAAAATTAAAGTCCTGCTGATTTTGAGTAATTCTTTGAGGTGCTTGGCACTGGGGGGTGAGGGTGGGTGTTTCAGGCACAGTGTCGGGGAAAGCTCCAAGCCTTGCAATGAGAGTCACAGTGGGGCAGAGTGCTGAGAACTGAAGGTACAGCTTAGGAGGAAGGTCAGTGTCTCAGTGGGCTTAGGATCAAGTCAGCAAGAAGTGGGCGGAGGGAGGGGTGTCCCTCCCTTCTCTTCTGTCCTCTCTGGCTCTTTACCTCTTTTCTCTTTCCCTCCCCTTTCTAATAAAACCTTTCACTTAAGTGGTGGTGGATTAGATTGCATTTAGTGGTCTTGCCATATTGGCAAGATCTGAATTTTGTTCACAAACTTGTAAGAAGAGCCTCATTCGTATTGTCAGAGCTTTCTCTTCCTCTCCACTCCACCCCTGCTTCCCTCTCTTCTCTACATAGCCCAGGTTGGCCTAGAACTTGTGGTATAAGCCAGTCTCTGAAGTTGGCATCCTCCTTTATTTAGTCTTGTGTGTGCTGGGTTATGGCATGTACCATTAAAACCTGTGTATAACGTGTCATAATTTGGTCCATTTTGATCGGGTTTGATCCATTTTGATAATTACGAAAACTCCCCTAAGTTGCTTTGCCTCTGCTCTGATAGCTTTAATCTGCTAAATCTCCTGAATCCTGCCCTGCACTTATTCCCTGGGCCTGGGTAGTTGTAAACAGTGCAAGTCTCTGCATGAAAGGACTTCTGTGATGATACGGTTGTGTTCCTTATGAATGGCCCCTTGGTGTGAGTACCTGTACACCCCTCGAGTTGTGTAGGGCAGCAGCCCTGGCCATTGGGCATAAGGTTCCATTTAACAGACTGCCTGCCCCATGCCCCAGGTAAAGGCCAGATAGATGAGCTACTTGGAGGCGCATGGTCTTGAAAGATGAATGTTTTTGTCATAATGGTATGGCACCTTCCCTTTTTTTTTTTTTTTTTCATTCTTTTATTAGTTCAAATTAGGAACAAGCTTGTTTCACATGTCAAATCCTTCTTCCTCTCCTTCCCCTCCCCCCTAACATCCCACCTGGATATGGCACCTTCTTAAAAGCCAAGATCTTTAAATGTGGGACTTTAACTTCAGAAGAGCCATTGAAGATCAGATCTGCTCCACTTAAAAGGAAGGAGCCAGAGCCAGTATGGTGTGGCAGTCCCATGTTCCTAGCACCTGGAAGGCTGAGGCAGGAGGATCACAGGCTGCAGGTATCCTGGGCTGTAATAGTGAGACCCTGTCCCAAAACTCAAAAACAAAAGGGGGGGGGAACGACCCTCCCCCCCAAAAAAACGGAAAAATGTGGCAGCCTAAAGAAAGAAGGTAGCTTGATAGTATAAGGCTACACAGCCCTGCTGTTTATACCATGCACAGTGTTCTTCCTGTTTCTGTCACCCCAGCACACAGCAGGTCAATGTTTGCTGTGTTAGACGTTGTGAAAATGCTCATGTTGTTACATACAGGCGTTTGCTTCATAATCTAACTGCTGGTTTCTGGTGGATAGGCTGTACCAGTGCAGGTCCTCATTTTAATCCTCACTCCAAGAAACATGGCGGACCCTCGGATCAAGAGAGGTGAGCGGCATGCCCCATATGCATGATGGTGGAGAGGCTGCCTGGAAGACAGGACTGAGTGGTCTCCCTGCCTCTGCGCTTGTATTTGTTGTCACTCCCCAAGTGCTGGAACGGTTTATTTGGGGTAAAGGAGTTGACAAATGGGGACTCTTAATGTGATTTAGTTTTATAGCATTTATTGAAGATGAATACAAGAGCCAAAAGGAACCAATACAGAAAATGTCAAGGGTAACAGTACTGTCAGTCACTAGCAAAGTAAATCATTGTGTAACAGGATACTAGTGCAGATAATGAAAGCTAGTTGAGACTCCATTTATATGTGAAACACCTCAGGAAAGTCCTAAGTTTAAAGGACTGCCTTGTTTTTATACTGGAGGCCTGGGAGCAAAACTTTGCTAGGTATGCTAACTCACGAGCTGAGTTCCTCCTTTGCTACAATCCCCAAAATGAGAAATATATCCCAGACCGTGACTCTTCTCAGATCGTACTTTTAAACTTGAAGTGTGTGTTCAGGGTGTCCTAGCTACCTGTTTTAAAATTGTGTTTCCAGACCTTTGTGAGTCTGGAAAAGTCGTCCTATTTGGTATGTATTGTGTACTTCCTAGCCCACTTACACGTGTTTGACTTGGTGAGATGTTAATTTAGCTCTTGAATGCTGCTGATGTGAATGTAGACATGAGTGCTTATCCTCTGATGCTGTTGTAACATTAGGCATGTTGGAGACCTGGGCAATGTGACTGCCGGGAAGGATGGTGTGGCCAATGTGTCCATTGAAGATCATGTGATCTCACTCTCGGGAGAGCATTCTATCATCGGCCGAACAATGGTGGTACGTTTTCATAAAAGAACATATAGGATTTCTTCTAACATGGTTATATACCTTTCCATGACTTCATGGTCAAACTACTTTCTAAAGAATCACATAAATTGTTAAAGTTTAGAATAGGAAAAAGTTTTTATTGGATATGATAGTGAAGAGTTAATTTGCCTAGGTCAGTTAAGAACACTGTTCTGCTAAGATGCAGTGGAAAGCAGGTTACATTTGATCAGACTGGGTCTAAGTTGAACAAACAGTAGTCTTGAGTTTAAAACAGCCAGATTTTCTTGCCATGATTGCTCCCCTTACAGTTAAACATTTCGTTGAGTGTAAAATCTGCGATGGATGTCAGTATTCAGGTCTGTAGGTTATCATCGCTTGGTTACCATATGGGAGCCGTCTTCCCAAGTTACCCTCGGGAGCTGAGTCTGGTTCATGCAGAACAAGTAGTAAAGGCTCCTGCCCAGCTTGGGCAGCTACCTTTTCAGTAGGCACTTCCTTTCAGTTGACCCTTTATCCTTAGAATTTTCTTCAGCCCTATTGGTGAAGCAGAACAGTCATTTATAAATGTTCTAAAAGTAAAATTTAAAGTCTTGTTGCTAAATAAAGATATTTAGAATTGCCTCTTATTTGTAGGTCTATAGTTCACTGATGTGGGATTTTTGATAGCAAAAAATTTGGGGGTGTGTAATGTGTGAAGCTAAGATCAGCATGTGGTCTGGTACAGTCATTTGGGTTGTTAGTATTTCATTTAGAAGTAGCAACATTTACCTAGCTTTTAAAGCTAACGTGTCTTTGTCACTAAAAGGAGAACTTAGTTGTCTGCCCCTAACTGGTAGCATAAATACCATCTTATTTGCTAATAGATTTGAACATTTTATAATTTAAGTGGTCCTTTTAAGTCTTTTGTGGTATTGCTAGGAAGAGGTGCTAATTACTTGGTTGCCCAAAGCTAAATGTTCTTAATTCTTTTCAAAGGTCCATGAGAAGCAAGATGACTTGGGCAAAGGCGGAAATGATGAAAGTACAAAGACTGGAAATGCTGGAAGCCGCTTGGCTTGTGGTGTGATCGGGATTGCCCAGTAAACATTCCCTGTGTGACTGAGTCTCAAACTCATCTGCTGTCCTGCTAAACTGTAGAAAAAAACCCCATTAAACTGTAATATTAAAAGTGTAACTGTGTGACTCCTCTTTGATTTAAGGACTTGTAATGAGAACTGATTGATGATGCTAGAAAGATGTGTATAATTTTATAGCTAACTGAACTAAAACCGGTTTCCATGCGTATTCTGCCAAACTTAATTACCCATGGATATTAAACTAAAGTTAATTCTCACTCAAGCTTATGAGTAAACATCATATGTGAGACTTACTTAGAGCCTATTAATGTATACAAACAAAATTTCAAAGTTAGCGCTATACATTAAACATCAACAAGAGACTCAGGTGTTGTTAACTTTAGTGCTCTGTTTTGAAAGTGTTTTATGTGACACCATCAAAATGTATGGCTAGTTTTGATTGTGGAAGCCCAAACCAAATTTGATCTTAGAAGGTTTGCTGCCCTTTGTTAGTAGCTTCAGAAAAATTACCGAAAGCTCTCCATTTAGAGTCAGAGTACCAACTATTTTGAAATAAAAATACTATATTTAGATGTCATAATTTAAAATGCCCCTTAGCCTCAGCTAGCCAAAGTTAATTTACTACCTACACTACTTTCCAAGTGACCCTGGAAAAACAGCAGCACTGGGAGAGGACCAAGTTTGACTCAAAGTTCTGGCTAAATCCTGACTTTATAGCACAAGTGAATGAAATTGAGTATCTCTTAATATGTACCTAAGAAAGACTCCCTTCTAAAGGAAATAACATAGTGATAACTTGCTTGTACAAATAAAGCCTGTCCGAAGACCAGAGAATGGAGCTTGCCACTAGCTAGCCATAGAAGTCCGGAGGTCTGTGCAGGTGACTCTAGAATAGATCATTCAACTGAAATGTTTGACAAGTCAGGTATGAGCCCTACCTGGTCCTGTTCAATCGTAACCACATAATTTTCCAAATACAAGTCACTAGGAGACTGTTAAATAGGAAAAGGGAAAATTTTGGGGTTCCCAAGTTTTAAAACTGCTCATAAGGAATGTGTTCGGAAGTTTGAAGTTTGAGGTAAATAACATGTCATGGGTTTCCTTAAAGTGGTTTTTGATGTGTGGGGTGACTCAAATGAGACTAAGCATCTGGTGTAATCAAACCAGTTGTATTGTTTAGTGGTTTATTTCTCAGCACTTCCGGTTGGAAATGCAAGTCTGTCCTTGAAATCTGGGCACTGGATAACCAGGTGTGTTTTTATCTCTTCGGAAGTATTCTAGAGCAAGAATATCAGTAGGGTCAACATAAAACCAAAACCGGGACAGCTGCAGACATAAGTCTCCCCATCATCACAAAGACCTTGCACTAAAAAATTCAAATGAGAGCATACAAGAGGAGCTTCTCAGAACTCTAAAGCTAAGCCAATTTAGGAATTTTTTGTTTACTTAGTATCTTGTGGTTTTAAAATCACACTTATTTTTAGGGTATGTGTATGAGAAGGAAAAGAGTTAGTGTTCTTCCAACTCTTGGGTCCCAGGAATCAAACCAAGGCCATCAATGTTGGCAGAAAGTTTCTTTACTGGTTTAGTCATCTTAGTTGTCCTTTATTGTAGGAAAAAACAGTAGTTCTCAATCTGTGGGTCACAAGCCCTTGGAGGTCCCATATCAGATGTTTATAATTACAGTTATGAGGTAGTAATGGAATAAATTTCATGATGGGGTCACCACAACATGAGGAACTAACTGTACTGTATTAAGGGGTTGAAGATTGAGAACTGCTGTCAATAAATACCAGACTAACATTAAGTCCCTGACTCTGAACAACTCTGCTTTTCAATACTATTAGAGTCTCAGATTGGCTTCAGATGGAGTTGTTTTTGGAAATGGTAAAGGAACAGGCAAAGCCTACAAGACTCGCTGCACTGTAACTCGTCTATAAAAAGCTTGCTGGTTGCATACATTAACCTTGACCTTGTTTTTACACCTTGGAAATTTTAATGGGATAATTTATAAACAACATATTCAACCTTATAAACAAGTAATGCCCAGGCAATCAGGTAATTTGCAGTATAATGTGTAATGTTGGAAATCTAATTATTTCCCCTAGCAAATCTGTTTACAAATTAATTACAGCAACATCATAACCGCAAAGCCAACAGGGGAAAAAGATCTGAACTGCAAATACAAGTTTCTTAGTTTAACATTAAGACCACTAGCCTTTACCTTATGATCAAAGTATTAAAAACCCGAAGAATAAGACTTGTGCTGGCAAATACTACCTAAGTGTCTTTTTTTCCCAGCAAAGAAGTCTGACTTAGACCCCCAATACATTATCAACAGCTCAAACTCTGATGGGTAACATCCTTTTCCACCTTAATGCAGAGTATGAAGAATAGCACACATCAAAGTTTGTTACGAAAATAGAGTTTATTAAAAACATCCCTATTGTTTGAGGAGCTTTTTCACCGTTACCTTGTCTTAAATTAAAAAAAAAAAAAAATAGAGAGCACTTCTAATTAGGATTTGTAAACTTTTAAAAGTCAAAACTTTTAAAAAGTTACAGCAAAAAAAGGGTAATATATCTTCAGTATTTTTTGTTATTTTGTGGCTATTTTTAAATAGAAGGGAAGCAATCAAATTGCTTACAATCCCCACCAACTACTGTGGGGTGATGCAGCAGGAGCAAATATTATACAGCATCTGTACACCTCAGCTCTATACCCAAGTGTCACTGCCACATTCTGTCAAATGCAGTCTCTAGCGAGGAGCCTCTGCTGCTGAGCCAGAATCCTTCTCGGGTTCAACGGATGAGGTAGCCTCAGCAGGTGACTCTTCGGAAGGTTTTACCACTGCGGCCATGGCCTCCCCCTTGTCAAGTTCTGAAACAGTGTCTACGTCTCCCACTTGGCTAAGGGGAGGTTCACTGGCTTTGTTACTGCCCGCCCTGTCTGTCAGCTCGTGCTTCTCCCTTCGGTTGTCTTCCTTCTCTCTACGGGACTCTCTATCTCTGGAATCCCTGTCTCTGTCCCGGTGCCCACTAGAGCGTCTATTTCTGTCTTCCAAGTCTCTGTGTCTGTCCCGGTCGGGGCTCCTCCTTCCCCACTCTCTCCGTTCACGGTTACTATTATCTCTATCATCATTTCGGTTCCCATACCGTTCCCGGTCATTTTCCACCCTATTTCCAAAAGATCTTCTTCCAAACCTTTCTTGGTCTCTACCTGAATTGAACTGCTGCCTGTTATCATTTCTAAACTGCTGAGGCTGCTGCTGCTGCTGAGCTGGCGCTGGCTGCTGTGATGCTGGCGGCTGCTGTGGCTGTGACTGTTGTGGCTGCTGCTGCTGCTGCTGCTGCTGCTGTTGCTGGGGTTGCTGCTGCCTTCCCTCTCTGTCTTCTGGTCCTCCTGGGCCTGGCCCTGGGCCCCCCAGCCCTGGCATTCCGCCAGGCCTAACAAAGGGGCCATGTGGTGGAAAGGGCCCTTTCATTCCATGCGGTGGAGGCATGGCAAAGCCTCCTGGTCCTGGAGGTGGACCTCTGTGCATCATGGGTGGTGGCATGGGACGAGGTGGCATCATAGGAAACCGCTGCAGGTGAGGCGGAGGCACCCCTGGGGGGCGCTGCAGTGGGATCAGGCCGGGCCTGGCACCAAGAAGACCTGTGGATGGTGCCTGGAGCCCAATCACAGGGCCAGGTGCAACTCCTTGAGTGCCTGAAAGATAACACAAATGAAAACGTAAACATCTAATTTTAGCGGTCTCCTATGGGGTTGTAAAGAAATATACAATTCAGTCCTGAGACAGCTTCACTCGGAATCCCTGCTGAACTAACCCTTTAGGCGGGGTAAGCCGTGGTAGACTCACTGATTAAGCACCAATACAGGCACAGACCAAGAAATACTGAAAGGAAATTGGAGCATTGCAATTCTTGTCAGCCCTCTCTAGCCACCTCCCCCAGAGGCTGTTTTACCAACACTCACGACATTAACAACATGCCAAGTCTCAGTGAGATAAAGGCCTGTATTCAGTCAGCATATCAAGATGGCAGGATGCACCTCACAATCTGATGCCATGCCTCACGTGCCTACTCTAAAGGAGAGGCCATAAAGTATCTAGTCAGGCTTCATGTTCACCTACTGCATGGAGCTATTATGCAGTATTCACCAGGATTCTACGATGTATGACAGAGATCCACACACACAAAACTTGGTTTTCATTTTTTTCTAAGCACTGTTTGAAGTGTCATCTATTAGGTCAACATGAGGGCTGGACTATGTGGGGGCCTCAGCCACACCCCTTCTCCTCCTCTTCCAAGGCCAGGGGCTGCCACAGCTGGTGCACTGAGTCCTCCTCTCACTCCTTCATTTCTGGTTTACAGGACGGCCTGCTCATGCTGGCCCAAGATTCATGTAAGTTCAACCCAGCGTTTACAACAGCAGGGAAAAATTAGCATTTGTTTTGGTCCTGATAAACAGGTATCAATCACACCTATTTCTTCCCAAAGACAAAGAGCAAACGTCCTTCATCAAAAAGCTATGGTGACACCACTCACCATATGGAGAAAAGGCTCCGGATGGTAATAGTGATACAGCAACAGCTAACAGTCACCCCAAAGCACCACAGAAATGCCTCTGGGAAAGCTCCGAGTTATGACCATCAGCACACAACCACACCATCAATTTGTCAACTTGAGTCAACTTACATCTGCCCATTGTAGAAAACTAGCAAGTCCTGCATGTCCCCGTGTTTCTTGTATGTACCAGTACTCAAGATGAGCCAACATTCCTACTTCAGTTCTGAACCACGTGTGAGACTAAGCCATTTAATGAATGAACACCAGCCTACAATATTTTAACTCAGGGACTCAGCCACATATTTACTTCAACAACAAAGTCCTCTGGGTGCACAAAGATGAACACTAGTCCCCCCTTACCCCCTTTTTTTGAGACAGGGTTTCGCTGTACAGCCTTGACTGTCCTGGAGCTTGCTCTGTAGACCATGTTGGCCTCAAATTCACCGATTTGCCTGCTTCTGCCTCCCAAATGTTAGGATTAAAGGTGGTACCCCACCACTGCTTAGCTAGGAGTTACTTTTGACACGTACTTAAGTGTTCCAAAAGGCAGACAGTAGTACCTGCAACTTAAAATGACAGTTCAGTGCCTGCTGAGGTAACTGGACACTATTATTCTACACACTTTGTTTAGTAAGGTGATATTCTAGGGATAAGCAGAACATTCCAAACCCATGTTCTTCCAATGTCAACTATGCTTTAAAGTCAAGTTTAGTAGCTGAGAAGAACTTAAAGCCAATGAAACTCTTAATATAATGTTGTAAGTTGAGAAGCCCTGTGAAATGGGAAAATGTGGCAAGGACTTTGAGATCACCAGAAAACCCCAGACAATAAAAATAAAGACCACCAGCTAGGCTAAGACCAAAATACTCAAGTGGCAAATGCAGCCAGTGCATTTAGTACACTAAGTTGTTAGGAAAAGTTTATTTTCAAGGACTAAGAGAATCGATGCTTACTGTTAGGGTGCTGTGGCATCTTCCAGTGTTACACTGGGAACTGTGGAGCCCTTAACCACCAAGCTGACTGTGAATGGAGGACCAAGGCCAACTTCACATCACAGAAGATGTATCATGGATTTAAGCCTCCCATAAGGCACAAAGCAAAACACCCGCCCAATCTATTTCATACATGTAGCTGTTTCTATTAGGCATCTACTCTAAATATAAGATGGCCACATCCTTTTCATTTCATCATCTGGGAAGATGTCAGATGGCATGTCCTCTTGGGGTATGGAGAAGCAATATTTATAGATTACACATACTACTGGCCCTCAGACAACGGATAACTGCAGCTCCTCTTGCTATCTTTTGCGGTAAAAATGTACTACTTCTGTAATTAAGGACATAATTAAAAAGTATACAGTGAGTCCTTTAATAGGCACACAGGTGATGTTAACTTTTGCTAGGAAATCTTTTAGACTGGCATTACACACCAGTGAAATATAATTAGCTTTATCTAGAATAGGCTAGGGTTTGTAGTTATAAATTAAAGAATAATTAATACACTAAAACTTTACTATTAACCTATTTGGGGATTAAAAACAAACCTTCCTACTTCAATTGCTACAGATGGTACAGCCAGAGGGTAAGAAAGGGCTGGACTGACAATGTGTGGACCTGAACAGGAATCACAGAAGAGGCCTTGGGTTGGGTCTGAAGGACAGGCAGGAAAAAACAAAAAAACCCCAAACAGTATGGGAAGGGTTGATGGAGGGGAGGGAGTTGGGAGCTTCTAAAACAGCTTAGTTAGTACTCCAGGGAGGTAGTGGGTGAACCATTCAAGGGGCCTGCCACAGGATGACCTCAGGTGCAAAGACAGGAGACCCTATCTACAACCAAAGATTAGGAAGCTGACTAGGTGGGCCGTGGCAAGAGGGGCTTGAATGACATGATAAAGAACCAGGCCTTTCCCTAATTGATGGAGGAAACCAGGGTGGGACCCTGAGCAGATGAATAATCCTTTCTGGTAAGTGGTGTATAGAAAGCAAAGAGGGTCAGACTATTAGGTTCCTACCCCCAAGAATATCAGAGTGGCAAAAGGCTCGACTAGAGTATGAGACACATGGAGGACAGCCAGTGGGTAGGACTGAGGTCTGGGATAAAGAAACACAGATCTCTGCATGAAGGTGTACATGCAAGACCAAAAATGCAGAGGGAACAATTTTAGGAGATGAAGGACAACTGTCATATTGTAACAGAGCACGTGGATAGCCTTTGTGGGATGCGAGGCAGCAAACCCTGTACAAATAGGGCTCATCCGCGCAGAGCCCACAGAATACTGGCCAATATGAAACAAAACACCCTCAGAGCTGGGGTGGTAACACATCACATACACTTAGACATTTCCAGGAAAACAAGGTTTGGGAACAGGCTGGAAAAAAAAAAAAATCCAAATACCTGCCTGTAATCCCAGAACTCAGAATATGGAGGCAGAAGGACGGTGGGCTCCAGGCTAGCTAGGGTCACACAGCAGGCAGGATGGTGGGCTCCAGGCTAGCTAGGGTTATATAGCAACACTAGGGTGAGGTGGTGGAGGGGACAAAACAAAAACTACTACATAGTAGGAAACAAACAAACAAACAAAAAAAACCCCAAAAAGCAAATTGGCCAATTTCCTAATGGTCTTCAAAATGGCTGCCTCACAATGAACTTACATGGAGACACCCCCATGGCGGAACACATCTAAGGAAAAGGCTAAGGGATGGATGTCAGGAGGTTACTCTCAGACACCAATGCGTAGGCTGAAATCACACAATTTGGAAAGCATACATATAAACATAAGGGCTTTCAGCTAGGGCCACGAGGCATGAGAAGTGGGGTCTCTAAAGAACAGCAGGGGTCTCCCGTGTGCAGAGAAGAGGGCCAGAAGCCAAGGGCACAAGGCAAAGATCCCGCCCAGCCGCCTCTACTTGGCCTGACCGGCCTCCCATAGCAGGTAAAGGAAGCCTCATCGCTGCTAATAAACACATCACCCAATTCAATTCCCAACTGCCCTCCCCATGCTCCTCCTGAGACCTCCACAAGCTCCTTCCGTAGTCCTAGGTTCTCTCTCACCATAGCTGCCTGGAAAATCCCCAACACCAGGTTGACATTTTAAAAAACATACGGTGCTGGGGACTGACTACAGGGCTCCACACTGAGCTAACCTTCACCCCAATGTTTATTTTAATCTGGGCCTGAGCACGGCTGCCAGTCTCCCCAGCCCCAACTACAGAACACACGTGTTTCTCTCTGACTGGCAACCTTACATTTTCCCAGTCAAACCACACTCCCACATCCAGGGTATCTACTTCATAGGTTAATGTTTCTCCTTGGTCTACTATCTGGTTGGCTTTAAGAGAACTTTAGTAAGATAAAATTCCACATCCTGTAATGTGCTCATACAGACATTTCATTCAGAATACCTTCATTATCCTTAGAAGTAAGCCTGCTATGTTAACCATCATTTCCCCTCCCCCAGCCAGTTTTTTTTTTTAATTTCTGCGAACTTGCCTGTTAACCAACATTAAAAGGAAAATAAAGGAAAAACAAACAAACAAAAAAGAATCATACAATACGTAGTCCTTTGTTGAGTGGCTCCTTCCACTTGGCATTTTCCAAGGCTCATCCAAGTCGTGTAGTATGAACAAGTACTTATTATCAAATAATCTTTCATTATATGACCACACCATTTTGTTTTATTGTATTTGCTTTTTGTAAAACAACCTTTTGTTACTTTCCCACCCAGCCCTCAAACCTTCAAAACGTGCTCACACCTGTGCTCACACCTGTGCTAGCTCTATGCCAGGCTGTGGCTATGTCAAAGGCCCTCAGCTCCTGTTGCTGGATCCACTCTTACCTACTGTCTATTAACCTACTGTACATTACCCTCCCCTTCTCTCTCCAGAATAAAAAGGAATAAAAAAAGTTAAGTCCCTTTCTCTGCCATCTTCTTTCAGCTTTACCCCCATGAGTCGGTATAAAACAATGCTCCCCAGGGATTTAAAAAAAAAAAAAAACTACACCCATTTCTCCACCCCCCCAGTCTCTCCTGTCCCTGTGTCATGATTCTAAATGCATCATTCCAAACAATCCTTTCTTGAGGCACCAAGAGCCTTCGTTTTGTTAAGGGCTGCTGCCAAGACTCAGCACGGAAGCTTTTGAA